TACACAAAAATTATCCTTATTTACTGTAAGTGTATTAATTTTGCTGTATCTCTGGGCCGGGGATTTGTATTAGCCACTTCTGTCCGACCCAATAGAATATGTACTTGCACCTAATGACGAGAGCAAAGCCAAATACCGGAACCTAGATTCTATTTTTAATATATTGAACGATGACTCAAGTCCAGAAAATAGAAATATAGAATTATGGAGTGTAATTAACAATTGTTATACTCTAGTCATCGACTTTTTAAAACACTAAGAACTGAGACCAAAACAAACTGTCTTTTGTTCGAATGTGTAACGTAGTTTCGTATTTTAGAAAATAAATCATTTCTAATATTGTTAAAAGATTATCTCAGAATAATATATGTATCAAAAGTAGACAGAATAAGCGTCAAATATCAAAACTTTATGTGACTCTTTGAAATTTATGGCTTAGGCTTTTGTTTAATGCAACTGAGATGAATTTTCTATGGCGTCACTTAAGCTTAGATGCTGAAGAGACAGCAGACAGATAGCATTCTGGTGTAGAAGCCTCTTAGAATGTGAATCAGGGAATAGTAAAACATTTGATCTTAAGGACATAAGGATGTATTGCTGAAATCTTAAGTAAAAGGGCATAAATTGTACTGTAGTGGTGGTATTTCGTGAGTTTCAGCCCTAGGGTTTTAAGTCCGTAAATTTTATTATATATTATTTATTTGCTATCGTTTGTTTCCGATAAAGAAATTGAAGATAATTTGAACCAACTGAAAAAAGGTGCATATACAATTACATCATTTTAAATATTGTATGTACATTTTTACATTCATATCACTTTTATGTACAATAATATTAACCACACTTTCATACAGACAGCTTTAATATGGAACATTACGTAAGCTTAAACCAGAATATTCTTATGCGATGTTTATTGTTAGCCTCAAATCCACAGATCTCAAGTTATGTTAACATGCAATGAAGCTACTAGCACAGTGAATTACTTAATTTTTAAATTCTGAATTATGGACCAACTATGCAGTAAGAGTTCATAGGATCGTGTTACACATGTCAGAAAATTAACTCAATATCTACGTCCTTAGATAGAATGGGCTGGTTTTATTGAACTTCAATTGACGTTGGTACTTATGGTAACAATAAACAATCAACCGTTGATCATGTTGATAAACAAATTATTACTATGAATCCTGTTTTAAACTGGACAATTTGTTATCGTTTCTTATGATGTAGTTTGTCATTTCACGTGACAATATTTAATATGAAGTAAATGTACTGTACAATATTTTTTCCATTCTTATATCCAATAAGTTGCTTTTAATCTTTCGACCCAATAAATATCCAATTTTTTATAAGAAATATGTCGAGGAAAAGTGAATATCATGAGGAAATTCCTTGACAAACATTTTTCAGAAACACATTTTATGAAATAATATTTTTACACGAGAACGAGACATTTCTGGAAGTGTGTTGCCATGCGACCGCACTGTTCTGTTCACAGCCAGAGATAACATCGCCCTCGAAAGCTGGATAACCAATGGACTTTCGTTGGGGTATTTAAATTTGTACAATTAGTACTACCTGATGAACAACACGTATGAATATTAAGTAAATACCGACACAAATTTATGTAAAAATTATAGGCAATTTTCCGAAGGTAAAAGGTATACATAATATACAAAGTATACGTTCATTATAGGTTTATGTCTCTCTTAAATGACACTTTAACAGAATGCCACTCTCGTCACAAAATTGTAAAGAATGAAAATGTCTGTAATATGTGTACATAAACAGTTTATTGCCTCATAAATTTATCTGATAAATGGAAAGATAAAATTAACCACGTGGTCGCAACTTTTTGTGTACAGAATATGAAACCCGTCTTGAACTGTGTCGTGAATTCCAATTGGTTTATCTATTATGCTGTACACCACAGGCAAAAACACCATCGTTGATAACGGTAACTTTTATGGGCAATGAAGTATCCGCACGTATGAAACTATACACTTTTTATCAATACGCGCGTGACAGTGCTAGCCACCGAAATAAGTCCTTGTAAACTGCGTGGAAGAAGTGGCTTCTGCGTATAGACTGGTTGGTAGGGGTGGCGGCAGGAAAAGTTGGCTTGGTTGTCCGGAATCCGTCCGAGGGTCTGCGTATCTGTCTTCAGTGTTCGGTGTCGACGTGGAACGGTGTTCATGATCATACTCTTGGTCTGGAGATGCGGCAATGAAAACGTCTGTCACAGGATTCTTGTGGGATGACCCATAGTTTGTTCGTTTACCCGGTATCAAAGCTGAAACACCAAACGTATGATTGTGGTCTGTTAAGTCGGTGTTAAAGTAACCTTCACTCACACGTCGCACATCCTAATTTATCAAAGACACATGACGGCACACCCCATAATTAACCACATGAAAAGATGATATGAAAACTAAGCATGACAATGAATATGTACCTACATATAAATTATTTCCCTATAAAAATGGGGCATACGAAAAAACAGAACATAAATTATTTGACAATTTCGAGCTATATTGCTTACTGCTTAGTGTAATCAGTTTTAGTAGATTCCCGATTATCCGTTCTAAACAGTACCGAAGGACGATCGGAGAATCTAAACTGTCGGATAATACGGAAAGTTAAATATCGACCCAATTTATGATATTAAATTACGATGAAAATGAAATACGCTAAAGCTGCTGTAGAAAGTCTGTGGTGGGGGAGTGTGATTCATTCCGCTACATGCTGAGATGACTGGTAATAAAATGTATACACAATGTAATATTTATCTTGCACGTATACATCTCCCGTAAAACCATTTGACCCACTAGATGAGTTTTAATGAAAGCCACGCAACTGGATGCATGTTTAATTCATTCCGTGAATAATACGAGTCTGAGAACCTTGCAGTTTTTTGAGGTTTTGAGTGACGTTAGCGCCACTAATTGTATAGTAAAAATAAGTATGTTGCTAAGATAGTTTTTGTATAGGGTTTTGTGGCGTAACTAATGAAATTCTTAAGCTAGACATGTGAATTTTTGCACGGAAATAGATCGCCGTGTCGCTTTATTTTTTATTTTATTTTAAAATCCGGGCCTCCAACGGGTTTTTGTCCATGCAGCAGATGACATATGAGTTAATATGGAACATCGATGCTAAGGTATTGACAGGGTAATACCGAAGGTCTTAGAGAAATACGTGATCAAATGCCATTTTGTCAACCACAAATCCCACACATACTAACCCGGTGCGAAATCTGGGCCCACGCGGCATGAACCCTACGCGGCCGAAACAAACCGTAAACATATATAAACAATTTTTAAAATAAAAACTTGTGAAACATTGTTGTAATGTCTGGCATATTTAAATCAAAGTTTGCACAGAGGAAAAGATGTAACGAAGTGGATTAGTATTTTGCGTGATTATTAATTTTATTATTCAAAACACTGAAGATCCATATATATAAAACAGTAATTTTGCCTGTTGTCTTGTATGGCTGTGAAACATGGTCTCTTACCTTGAAGGAAGAACGTAAATTACAGGCGTTTGAAAAAAGGTGCTCAGGAAGATATTTAGACCTAGGAGGGATGAAACAAGTGGGGAATTTAGAATATTTCATAACGAGGAGATGAGTAAATTGTACGGGTCACCTAGCTTAGTGAGGATAGTGAAATCTCGGGGGTTCCGATGGACTGGACATGTAGCTCACATGGGGAGGCAAGGGGAGCATACAGATTTTTTTGCTTCTGGAAAACAACCACTGGGCAGACCAAGAACGAGATTGGAGAATAACATCAAGATGGACCTTAGGGAAGTTGGCAAATGAATGGAGTTGGCTCAGGACCGTGGCCGGAGGAGGGCTTTGGTGTTGTGTGTTGCTACCAGGGAGTTAGTTATTAATTCAGAGTTTGTACTAGCCTCAAAATATTAGAACATTTGAAATATATTAGTCATAACAGACTCTCCGCATAACTTGTTATTTACGACCTGAACGGCATTGGTTTGATGTATGAGTTGTGCAGAATAAGTGTTTGCATAGGGAGGGTTTTCGTGACGTCCTAGTAGAATACGCTTACACAAATAGTAGTTCGGACTGATGGAGTGGAAATTGACTGGCAGGTCCTTATGTAGCAACCGTGCTGTTCTCTGGCTGTTGAACTCTGGATTATCTGTCGGTATCCGTTGGTTGGTAAGAATGTTTACAGGAGGGTCTTTGTGCTGTTTCAACGACTTCTGTAGTTGGATGTAGCTCAGAAGACTGTTACCTGGAAAAAAAAACAGTGAGTGAGTCAATCAAAATTCCTTAAGTTTGATTAACATTTCATAGAAGTAGGTGGTCATAAATGTTTAAACTTGTTATGAATAGATGTATGTTTAATATAATATATTAAAATTAAATTAAACGCCTAGATTTAGTTAAGTATTAAGCAGGACGAATTTCGACCGGTATATTTCGGATTAAGACATATAGTATAAAGTTTCATTTAGCTTCGAGAAACTTTCGATATGTTGTGTGATGACGGACCTATTTAACCTAAACACACGTTGTCTGAAGCGCATTAATATTTGGCGTGTATCTACGTGCGCACGTAGACTTAGGTTTGTTCGTATTTATATATGTATTCGTGTATAAATCTGTATGTCTTTGTGTGCATGTATGTATTAATGTACGTGTATGTAACCGAGCAATATGGACATATCCTTAATTTTAATTAGACGTTACGCCACATCTGTTGTCGAATAAACATCGATACAAGAAAAATATAACAGAGTTGCGCATTAATTCTTTGACACTCACTGGGGAATTGAGTCCGTATGACGGCGTGGAAGCCTTTTGGTCCGTCCACCTCGTAGTCCACAGTGCGCACTCGTCCGTCTGGGCCCAGAACACTGTAAGCTCCTTTCACATACTCCCCGTGCCTGTGCTCCCAGCGGTCATTGATGACTCCGGACAGGGGGTCGTCAACAGCGTACCGATAATGGTATTGCACCTGAAAAACAACACAGCACGGCTATTAAATGAGCGAATTCTGGGGTCACTAAGACCACATTTTATAGTAGTCTATTTCTCCAGTCAGTAAGGTACGTATAACGTTTCTGACCTCTGATCGCGTAGTAAAGGAATTTTATTTGTAGACATGTTGTAGGGCTTTGTTTGCTACGGACGATTGAGTGAAGATGGATACGTAATATGTTAAAATAATAAATTTTATCAGTGCTATAAATAACGTCGAATTTCGAATTTTTGAGCAAACAATTTCTGCATATAATGAACTGTCAGGAGATAAAATGACTTCTACAAAATCTAGTAGTCACATTTTCCAGTGTTTATAATTTTTCAATTATTAAATCCGAAGGAAAGATAGACAAAACATAAATGTATTTGTGTGCGACATGTCCTTTTACGAATTTTATGAGTACATTGTCAACCTACAATGATCATTGAAACAACAACTACAGTGTGTATATTGTCTGTTTTTTTAGCTGCTCTCTTTGTGGAAGGACTTTAATGACATTTAACCTCTTAGTTTAGAAGAAATATAAGAACAAATTAAGTTATTACGTGTCAGCTATATTTGTATCAGATTATTTGAAGACATCATTGGGTTTTGAATAAGATCTAAAATATTTAGCTGTTATATCAGGGTGTTTTAATACACAGTGTAAAAGACGGGAAATAAGTCATTCACATTGATATTCATAAATGTTGTAGCCGTAAAAAAACATGCTTCAAATATGCCGAAGAATTTTACCCCTCCCTTAAAGCGCGTCTCTAAATCACTCGTATGACGTTGCTTTTATACGATGCGAGTTATGAGCTGTCTTCACTCGTTTGAGCATTGTGATGTTGCAACGTTATACGATTTTGCTGTGACCTTGAAGTATGCAATTTTCTGACTGATTCTATAGAAGCCTCTTTAACAATAATAATTCAATTTTAATGTTGGACAAGAACTAGGCCTCTTCTTACCCTAATACGCATCCTTATGTTACATAGTAAGCCTGAATAGACTTGAGATCTTAAAAAGCTTCATCTTAATACACATTAAAAATACGCACGTTTATTTTCAAAACTTGAGGGAAGGGATAATTTCAAGGACCTAGACATAGATGCGATGATAATATTCAAATGGAGTAGGTTGGATTAATCTGACTTAGGATTGCGACCAGGAGAAGACTCTTACGAACACTCAACGCACCAAGATTTATTGCTATACCATACTAAAATCATAACCAAAGTACCAATCGAATTTAACCTAGTAAAAATTTATGTACCACACTAACTTAACCAATATAACGTATTGAAAAACTAGTACCCTAAAAACCAAGTTGTTAGCATTCTTGTTTCGTGCTCTGGAGTTTCCGGGTTTAAGTCTCGGCTCGGAAACCGGCTATCCTGACTGAGACTTTTATGTTTTCCATTGGTTTTTACAGGCAAGTACGAATAAGCTTCTTTCCCGATCCCTTCCAATTATTACTCGTTATCATCCGCTCATTCAACGTTAATGTCCGCGATACTAAATGCATCGTTAAATAAAGTGTAAATAAATTTATAAGAACTAAAATACTAACGTAGCCTAATGATAATCATTTTTATTGTTATTCAATATTGCGAAGAAAATATGTCGGAGATAAAATTGAAAGATATCTGACATTTTTCATTTAATATAAGTAAAATGAAGTAGACGAAATTCTAGGTGAAATTGTTGTAAGAGAAATGATAAGGAATTGAAACTGGTAAAGGTAAAATGTTCTCAAGTTCTTGAGAGAGCGCAAAGCAAAGACAGTGATTACGATATATTTATATCACAGAAGAACTAAAGCTGTTTTATTACTTGAGTTCTTTCTACACATTTTTTTATAAATTATTGTTGAAAGTCACATGTCAACCGTGGACCGTGTTGCTTTATTTTGTAATACATCTTCTTTAATATTTTGCTACTTTACTTTTCTGTGACCTAGGTTTTTTAAGTTGGTCGTCGTGAAAACATCCATTCCTTCTAAAGCTACCTCATCTTCTTGTTCCATTGTAGTCCTGCTAGTTTTGTGAATCTGGAGCCGTCAAAGTATGTTGTTTACTTTGATTACATGTTCTCCCCCATCGATTTTATTTGTTTTATGTTGTTGTTTCCCGGCTCTACAACCCTGTTGTGGGTTATTGCCGCCTTTTTTCGGAGGTTTCTTGGTCTTTGAAGTGTGCATTTATGAGTAATGAGTGGCCAGCCCACTGACTCTGCACAATTTCTTCTCAATCTCGATTTGACTGCCAGAGCTATCTAGCAGTTAATCAGGAGACTTGGGTGAGAAATGACCGCTGAATTTTCTTTACGAAATATCTCGTATCATGCTCGTAAGGTTCTTTTACTTGTGTTTTATGTGTGTTTTAAAAACGAATCATAAAACTGTTTTAGTTTTGCCATGTCCGCCCATCTGCCACCATACAAATGTACGCAAAGCATCTGACCATTTTCAGTTAAACACTGTCTGGCAGCCACAAAATAAAATTTGTCCATCTGTATTGGTTTCAGTTTAGTTTAAATCTATTTACTTGCCGCTTTACATAATATCACACACGATATTTTCGATTGTCCGACAGATTTTTACAAAACAAGTTATTTCTTTGAGATTATAAAGTTCAGTATTAATCTGAGATAATAACTGTGGAATAAACATTTTGCGTCCATATGGTACATATGTAATGTATTAAACAACATTTGTACAAAAACAAAAAATTATTTAGATGAAATTGCTTGTTTAATAACAATAATATTTTGTGTGCTTCATCCGAAGAAATGTCGAAACTCTTACTCTTTGATTCTCAACGCATTTCGTATACAAAGACGAGAGACAAACGCCATGCGTAGATGAAAGTCGCCCTTTAAATATCACCCCAAGAGTGCATTTCTCTGTGATTATAAAGTGTTTATTTTTGAATAATTTGAGGTTCTCACAGCCACGAGCATGAAGGCGGCTGTCTTCCGGGTAGAGATTGTCCGACGTTTCAGAGACTACTGCCTCTATCATCAGAGAGAACTCCCGAAACGTCGCTCAGATTCTGTTAAAAACTACACGGAGCAACATCCCAAAAGAAGCCTTCAGTATTCACAATATTATCTGCCTGTTACACTTGAACTCTTTTTCCTCTTTACATTCTCAAAAAATTATAACCTCAAAATACGCGTTTCAGTACTTTCAATTCAGGTTGTATTTATTTTATACACAGATAACATGAATAAAACATGGTATTCATAACACTTCTATCATATAATGATTAAGGGATACGTAACAATCTAATGTTGGAATTCCAGAAATATTTTATATTCGTCAGATGCTATATCCTCAAGAAAATTCTGTTACTTTCAAAAACCCCAATCAGCTTTATTTTCATCCAATTGAAATTAAGCAGGAATAATGACAAACAGCTCTTTAAAGCATAACAGAGGGACCAACAGTGTTTAATCAAACAAACCGAAAGACAAGTCATGGCATCGTGAAATTCCTCGTTGAATATCAACATTGCTCAAGTCGTCATGTTGACATTTTAATTTATTGTGCCTCGTCAAAGAAGCACACGTAGTTTCAAGAACTTGCAATGTAAACAAATTACTAATTAGACAAATACCGGTGTATGGACGCAGAATGAAAACAAGACAGTGCTAAGAGCAAGCATACTCAAGGCTCTATAAAAACAAATTACCTTACCTGCTCTTAAATGTCGTTATAGACTGACAATAAAGGAGCATTTCATGTTTAGCATTGATTTTATCCACAGTCTGGTTTATACTTGATGTGTTTCTAGCAAAATTGGGACTACTTAAAGCAGTTGGGCTAAACTGACATTTTATTTTCGTATGTGGCAAATGATGACGCCCAGTGGTGTGATCTTATAATTACAGGAATAGACCTTTGATTTCCACAGAATGCTATAAATTTCATCACCCGAAGGACATAACTTCTTCTCTAGGGCTCTACCCTACGGTCTTTATGAAACTACAATGTTCTGTATCGTGTTCAGTTAAACCCGACATTGGTCTATTCTGGTCCACATAGATCCTGTATATGTACTCACATCCTGTTTTTAAGATCAATTTTAATATTATCATTTCATTAGAATTTGAATAAATTACACTTAACTTTATTAACTCGTAGAAACATGGAATGATCAATCCTTAATCATTCACAGTGTTATTTTGTTTATATTTTACGTGATTACATATTTTACTTAGATAAAAATAGTTCGATTGTTATTATTTTGAGGATCATACTTTCTTGAATGCCGAATTCATTATTCTTACGGTAATGGTGTAATTTTATCTCACATTACTTGGTTTAGCTGCAGACATTACTTGATCTTCCTTATTAAGACTGAGTTATATTGTGCAATTGTTTTATAATGCTGTGCTCTTCACTCACTTCGTTGTAATTCTCGGGTGTCTCCGGGGCAGTGACGTAGTTATAGCTAGAGTGTAACTTGGGGTCAGCGCTGGTCGCAGCCACAGTGAATACGACGGCCACCCCGATCACCTGTAACGAAAATGTCACCAGAAAATTGTTTTGTAACTACATAACTTCGAGAAGGTAAACTCTGTTACATAGGATCAAACTTTTATTAGAGATGAAACAACTTCAAATCTCTGCACTACCGGATAACCAGACAGTTTCTTTTTGACTTGACTGAGGACCTCCAAGAAAATTCTAGTACCAGACCTTGAAATTCAAACTGCACAACTATTTCCATCTGGTGCCTTCTATATCGGAGTCTTTTGTATCAACCTGCAATTTCACGAAATTCTCAAGAAATGAGATGCTTGTAAATTTTTTTGACAAGCCTGAAGAAAAAATTAAACTTAGGGACCCTACAGACAGATGCGGATTGGATTCATGTGGCTCAAGATAGGGGATGGTGCCGGGCGTTTGTTAACACGGTAATGAAGCTTCAGATTCTAAAAGGGAAGGGGAATTCATTGACGAAATCCACTAATAGTTAAAAAAATTGGACAGTCTTTACTAATTGAGCTTCTAGTAATTTATACGAATGTTGTTATTTTAGGAGTAGATTCTTCCATAACTTTATATTTACAGCTCGAATGGTCTTTTAGTTGGGAAATGAATTTCTTGAATAGATAACCTACAATCGTCTTCTGAGAAAAGAGTGTGCTCAATGCAGTTATTAGGTTAGTTAATACAATTAAAATTGTATTCTTACTATCTTATTAAAATCAATTACTTTAGTAGACCTATATTATACATAATTATTTGGCGTGGTGTTAATCGTAAACAGGGCCAAATAACATTTAAAGATATCTATTTTCTTGGGTATTGCACCGTGTAGTTCAGTAGATAGTGAGTTTCTTGCCTCAATAATCAAGTGGCACTAAGCTCTTCTGAAGGGTCGGTTAACCTTTGTTAGACTACATGGTACAACATTCCAAAAGACAGCGATCTTCATACACGTCGCCTTAAGAATCTCAAATCTCACCAAATTACCGTCGTTGGCACAGTCAATTTGATACGTAAGAATTGTGACCTTCTTTAAACAATTATGTTCTTTATCACTAAATGCATGTTAGTGAAGTTGTAAGTTTATAAATACATGATATGAATCTCACATTTCATTAGCCACAGATTATATCCACAATTCTGTCTATTCGCTGTGCAGATTTGTATTTTGACTTTTCTGTGTCAAGGGTAAGTTATGTTCACAGCTGTTATAGTTGAGTTCGCCATCTGTTATTTAGGCCATGATCATGCCAAATGACTGTAAAATTGTTTATAAAGCACAGTCCGTGAAGTTGAAAGGAAGAAATACATGTCCCTCGCAGGCATAAATTAGCGTAAGCACATAAATCATTTATTGTCCAATCGTGCTTCTTCTATATATGTCCGTGTTTTTCAACCACAAATTTTCTTCGCGCTAAATAATGGTTCAGGTAAGAAAGCAATGGTATGAGAGTGGTATCTGATATGAGACTTGCGTTTTACGATACCAGACGTATTTTCAAAGTAAACAATGTTGGATGGGGCAGTACGTTTTGGTGTTACCTACATGAACTGGTTCTGCGCGTACAACAAAATATAAGGTTAAAATGTATTTGTGATTAAAAATCAAAATACTGTATTTTTAACAACATTTCCTATCTTAGAGTGATCAAATCAAAAGAAATTCCGTAGAGGTAAAATGCAGTACGCTTGGGAGAGACGAGGCATGATTAAATCTTAGTCGAATATACTGAATGTTAGAGACCGATAGAGACACAAATACTTAGAAGTGAGTATAATATTAAAGACGATCGTTGATAAATAGATTGCACCGCTGTGCACCAGATTTATCTGGCTCAGAATACAGACGACTAGCGGATAATTATGAATACAGTAATTAATTTTGGGTTTCTTTAATAGGCAGTTACCTTATGCACTTGAAAAACTGCTTATTACAATAATAATACAGTTTCTGTCCGGTTGGAGTGTGAATTATAGCTGAAAAACAGGTAATATCAGTTACAATGGAATGCATGTCTCTTTTATATTTTATTCTATTTTACTTCATTTCGGTGTATGCAATTACAATTTTAACAAACTTTCAAAATAAGAAACTTTGAATCATATATATATATATATATATATATATATATATATATATATATATATATATATATATATATATATATATATATATATATATATATATATATATA